GCGCCCGCAGCCATGTCCAGCATTTGCCCGACCTCGACATCAATCAGTTGCGCTGCGCTACCTACAGTGCTTTCGGACGGCGCGCTGAGAAGAAAGAATGCCACGGTCGAACTGTCGGCGCCACATCGCAAGGCATCCAGAAAAGCATCATCTGTCATCTGAAAAGTAGCATTGACATCCCATACAGTCACCATAGCCGGCGAAGCATCGAGGCTCTCCACTGCAACGCAATGCGGACTGTTCCCATTTTCGAGGTGTAGTAGCCATTTTCCTTTCGGTGCTTTCTCCAAGAACAGCATGGGGTGCAGCTCGCACTCGCACAAGACCGACGACTGCTTGTACGTCCGCCCGCGTGTCTCCTTCATGTACACATTCTCTGGGAGAGAATCTTGAGATAGCTTCGCCATCACTTTCTCCAGCGACGCGGCCCCAAGGCATGCCAGCGCGTGCGGAATGCAGTTGCCAGCTTGACGAAGCTTGTGATCATCTGCAAATTTGGGGGGGCTGGTCGTTTTTGCTGCTGCTGCCAGCATCTCCAGAACGTGCAAATGCTTCTTCTCTCGGATCTTAACAGAAAACCCAGTCGTCTCCAAGATGTGCTTCTCACTTTGCTCGCAAATCTGCGCAGCCGAAGCCTGTGCAGTTGCTGAAATCCTGACTCCATCAAAGTGAAGTGATAGATGTGCTGGAGTGTACGTGGTCAGCAGGAATTTGCACCACTCAGTGAGCACATAGTCTTCACAAGCCATGTACAAATGCGCAAGGATGGAGCTCTCCGGGTTCTTTTTACCGGATGCTTCATCACAGAACTCCAGAAACTCGTCTGTCAGTGTGGAGACCGCTATCCACTTGTAGTACACTGATGCACGTTGCAGCTTCTGCACGAACTCGATACCTTGCAGGGACGGTGCTGCTCCGCCTCCATAGAGAATGGCTGTGAGCGCTTTCTTGCCCTCCTCCTTAGACATCTTGAGCACGCTTTTGCACACGCTGTCACGCGCCTTCCCGCACGTTTGCATGACCTCGGCGACCTCCTGCGGTACAGTGGGCTGCAGGCAAAGCTTTTCCATGAGCTGAGAAAGCAGAGAGAAAACTGAGTTCTGAATGTCCAGATCATGAGTTCCGCTGAGCAACACCTTCTGCGCTCGCCGGCTGAAGCTTTGAGCGCACGTGCCCGTTGCTTGCTTCCTTGTCCTGATAGAGTTTGGGCTGGTGTAGTGGTAGGAACATACAGCGGAGTGGATGCCAGCACTAGACGCAGCGCCGCCACCCTGCTCCAACTTGATGTCCGGGCTTTTCACCACACGTCGCCGCTTTGCTGCTCTGTCCTGCCCTGGGAACCTGTCAAGCAGCTGCTTCGCATGCTCTTCCGCAGCCTCTAGCTTTCGCGCCTTGGTAAGCATGGTCTCCTTCAACTTCTTATCTTGCTCAGCCAGCCTGCCTCTTCCTCGGCGACTTCCTGCCGACTTCAAGACTGATGCGAGAATCATCGCATCTTCGCGCCTGTGCATGCAAGCAGTGACGTACTCCACAAACGCTTCGATCGCATATGCTTCTGGTAGCTCAAGCTCGCAAGCTCTGGAGGTGTGGTCGATGATGCTTCCTAAAGACTTTCCAGTGGTGAGCAGCGGGATGTAAGCAAATTCTGCTTTGCCCTTGCCTGGGCCTTTCAAGCAGTGCTTCCGAGCAGTCAAGCCGTCGAGGAGCGCATCCTTTGTAACGTTGGGGCCGTCCTGGAGCTTCATTGGCTTCAATGCAAATGGCGTCGCCGTCACCATCTTACGACTAAGCATGAAGGAAAGCAAGCCCTGCCTGAAGGCGCTCCAGTTGTCATCGGACTTATCTTCCTGCTCGGCGTCCAAGATGATGACCCCAGCTGTCCTGGTAGCTGCCAATCGGTAGTCTTTGGGAGGCAGGCCGCATGCCTCACGCATGGTTGCTTCCGTCAAGCCCCCATCTCCACCCATAGCTGCGTACTGCTCAATCATCTCCTCACACTCTTTCTTCGTGTGCTCTGCTTCGAACGCATGCTGGAGCTGCAGCCCGGCGGCAACAGCTGCCGACGACCGCAAGAAATCACCGAGGTCAGGGTCTTTCGGGAACACTCCATCCTTTGCAATGTCCGCGTACGCGCTCTCGATGACCTGTGGATCCTCAAACCGGGCCAGGAAACGCCACACAAACCCTCGACGAAGGATGGCATTGAAATCTCTCTTCCCGACATCAGAAAACCTGAACATGCGGTTTGCTTCTAGACGCTTCCACCCCCGTGTGTAGATCATCTTCGTACAGAATCCGTACGGCTTCCTCCCAGCAATGCCATCTGCGCTTGCAAACTTTTTGAACAGATCCTCCCTCAACTTGCGGTTGGTCGCTGGGGTCTCCTGCCCGGTCAGAATAATGCATCCATTTAGTTGCTCCACTTGTTTGCGCATCTCTTCCTCATGATACCAGATATTGGGATCAAAGTACGCGAAATTGTGCCCGTAGAGTGCTTGCAAGTGTGAGCTATACAGGGACTGCCCCACGCCGCCACTGGAAAGGCCAATGAAAAGGCGAGTCACATTCAAGCCTCGCTTGGCCAATGCCTGCGCTGCTTGGCAACATTTGAAAACCTCCACATTGCACCAAAATGTCTGTGCGTAGAACTTGTGCAGACGCTCGACACTGTGCTGAGGCACTGTGCCCTTAATGCAATGGGGCACTCGCAAGTAGCAATTCTCTAAGTCTGCGCGAGGAACTTGGAATGCTGGCAGCAATTCGTCATCGTATTTGATTGCGCAGTCCTCGTAGCAGCAGCTTGCTTCTTGCTTCTTCGCTGTGTTGCACCACTCGCTCATGTAATGCAGCAGCTTGTCCTCCGTGATCTCGCGTGTGAGCTGTCGCTTGACAATCATGATGAGCTTCGCAGTAGACAACATCCACGGCTGACTTGCGTCTGCACCCTCTTCTTCCTCAGCACCGCGATTGGCGCGTCGGCTTGGGTCGCCTTGAAAGGCCAAGCAGCAATTCACTGTGGACTCTAGCATAGCAGCTTCATCTCCTGCGAACTCATCAACGATGGATTGAATACCCTCAAGCAGCGAATTCACGGTTCGCTCAGTTCTCCTTGGAAGCTTCCGGAACACACCTTCCACGTGCATCAGGAAGTTCTGCACGCGGCCTTGATCGGGGGGAACTCCTCGATGCTGCTGGAAGGCGCCACTAGGTGTTTTCATATAGCAGTCACCAGAATGAAAGCGGAGTGTGCGGTGCCCCTCGGCGATCCAGTACACCATGGCATGCTCGCGTATGTGGATGTCAGCCTGGCGAGTCCGCGCAAATGCTAGCGCTCCGACGCAAACACGAATCAAGTAATCGCTCATGTTTGCAAATCTGGCCCTGACAGCCTCTGTCCATATTCTTGTGATTTCTAAAATTGTGTCGGAGTTGTCCTGCATTTCTTCAGGGAAGGCTTGAAAGCCAGAGTTCGCTTCACGCAGCTGGCCGAACAGAGCTGCGAAGTCCGTATCAGATGTGGATGCGCCAGGCTCGCTTGGAGCACAAGAACATTAGCCTTTCAGGCCCTGGCACCTCCCAGAATCCTTCTTCGTCTGCGCCTACAAAACCCAATATCCGGGCTCTGCAAGGCCCGCGCAGAACTACCACAGCTACTGCGCACCCGCGCTCTTTGGTCAGCATGTCCGAGATGAGCCTAACAATCTCTGTAGGAAGAAGTGCTTGAAGTGGCACCTGCGAGCCCCCAATCGCATCGGTCTGAACTGCCTGCACTTTACTTTGCTGCCATGCCATGATAGCTTCAGCTTCGGCCGTCATGTGTGGCACATGATCAATCCACGGGTGGCCCGCGTGCTCTGGGTGTAAACAAACCACGAACATATCCACCACAACGACGCCATAGTACTTCTCGAGGATCCACTTGTAGATGTTCAGCTGCAAGCGATACTTGATGCCTGCGGCGTCTGGAAGATGCTGTAAAGGAGGGCGCATGCTAGCAAATGTGTTAGAGAACTTGGTCGGCAAGCTCTTCGTTCGCTTCCAGTCAAAAAGCACAATGCGCCCCTTCTCATCCTGAGCAGCAAAGTCTATGGACCCTGCCATGCGCTCCTGTGTGCCCCAGACACACCACTCTGTGCGGTACGCCATCAAGCGACCAGTTGAACCCAAGAAGGATTGAAATGCCTGCATCTCCAAGGATGTGCCCTCTATACTTCCACCATTAAGCACACATTCGCATAGCAGGTGCACCCATGTTCCCGCTGCAGAAGCTGCCTCTCCATTGGCTCGCCACATTTCCTTGATATCGCTTGGGGTCATCAGGAATTGGTTTAGTGCTCCCCGGGTCTCCGTGTTTCCACACTGGAGTTCAGCCCGAAGAGCCTCAGCTGCTTCCTGCTCCGAGCAGGGCGCGCGTAGTTGCGAAACTACGTAGTGCAAATTTGGGCACTTCTTGGCAATGCTTTCCAGCAGGGCATGGTCGTGAAGGTTCTTGAGGTAGCCTGCCCGCGGCCAGTTCGCCCCCCTCATCATTTTGCTGATTACACCATCTGCATCGAACTCCTGACCAGGAAACATCCATATCTCTTTTTCTTTCTCAACTGCAACTATCTCTGTAGTCTCTTACACTGGTCCAGCAACATGTCACGCTGACGAACAAGTTGACAACACGTTTGTCCCAAACGCTGCCTTCCCTGGCGCCAAGCTACAAGTCCAATTTAACCATGACCCGAGAGAACTTCCGTAACGGCTCCCGAGAACCCCCGTTAGTCCTGCGAAAACTTTGCAATCAAGGAAGTCACTGAGCAATCCATTTGTTGTCCATGAACATAGTACTTGTGACCTTCTTCTTCAAATCGAACTGCAGCGTCACGCGGATGGAAATTGCAGGTTTTCAGCCACGAAAACTCAGGCAAGTGCTCAGAGCTGCTGACCTCCTTGGCAGTCGCAGGCAAAATAGGAATACTCTTGTCCAGTGGAGGAAGTGGAATGCGGATTCCCACAGCAGGCTCCTGGTCGCTGCCAAACGTTTGCCAGATCATGGGTGGCATCGAAACGCTCCACAGCTGCATGAACCTTCGCCTTGCAATTGCTTCTGTCAAGGCCGCTCTGTAGCGAGCTGCTTGCTCCCTGGAAAAGCCTTTGCTTACCAAATCCTCTTCATCTGGCACCTCGTGGATCTTCACGCTGACAGGGGCCGCTCGCTTCCGCTCAAGCGTTCGGGCCCTCGCGTGGCAGATCTGTAGCCGCTCTACAGGGTCTACGCGTGAGATGGATGTCCAGCTTGAAAGGTCTGCGCCGCCTTGCACATCGAGCGCCTTGGGCGGCGGGGCCACTCCAGCATTTCCCATCGCAGCGTAGCTGCCATCTGCAGCGCCGCATGCAAGCTTGAACACCCTAGTCCCTTGGCGAAGAATCGTGGGGTTCCATCGTCCGACCTTCCCGACATGCCGCCGGAGCGTTGGCCTCCACATGTAAGAGCCGTCGCCCCACACCTGCAAGCTTGTAAAGTGGTTGTTCCAATGCAGAACGTACTTGCCCACATCAATGTCCTCCACGCTAGCCATTGGCAAAATCTGCATCCTAGGCACTTGTAAGCTGTGACCAACAACAAGCGCTTAAGCAAACACTTACACATTCTGCGCCCGAGCGGCTTGTGCGGCAACAACATGCGATTGCCGTCACGAAGCGCCCAGAAGGGGCCATTGTCTGTGTACTGAAGCGGGACACCGAGGGATCTCAAGGCATCAATCAGGCACACTTCAACCTTGCGCTCTTCAGTGCGATCGCTGCTGCGATCAGCGGTCCTCCGGGGGGGCCCAACATGCGGCATGCCAGAGTATCACGAACCATACACTGTAACTCTTACAGTCCTCCGGGTTTTTTGTGCGTCGGAGTTCGCTTGGCGCTGGGCCTTGACACTGCCAAGCAACGCTTGCTCCCTTGCCACCACCTCAGAATACTCCTCCATAAGTGCCATGAAATGCTTGTGGTCCTCCCATCGCCTCTTCAACCACTGGCGGCGCAGCTGCAAGATGCTGTGCTTGAGGACGTTGCCCCAGTATGAGCCTTCCCTGCGCCGCTGCCGCTGTCGTTTGCTGAGCAGTTTCCACTCCTCCACGCTCTGCGTTGCGCAAGAGCTGCTGCCGCCCAAGATGTCCTCCAGAATGTGCTCCGGGATGAACTGGACCCCCGTGTCGCGGAGAGTCTCAACATCAACCATGCTGCTGCCAGTCACGATGGCCTCGTCACGCTTGACCCTGTCCTGGGAGCCGATGTAGTACTTGTTCCGCGGCACCTTCGTCCAGGAGACGACGTCCGCCACGGGCAGCTTCGCAGTAGTGACGGTGCGGCGCACAATCGCCCTCACAAGCTTGTCGCCTTAGTAGACACGGGCCAAACTAATAAAGGCTAGAGCTTACTGCAACTCAGCTAAGCAAGCAGAGCAGCTCCATCTGTCCGCGATGAACAAAGCGTCAACGCCTTGCCCCCCCCCCCAAACAAATACAGGCTTAGAAGCCCACAACATCACGCGTGTTGCACGCATGTGTTATAAGAGCGTGGCCAGGATCGTACAGACTCGGGCAAGTCGAGAATGACACGAAGCTGCGGCCGACACCACAGTCGACCCCTGGGGAGTCTCACACTGTCTTTGCTTCACCCAGCTTCGTGTCAGACATGCCTTGCTAGCCAAGGCGCAATGCCAGCCCGGCTCGTGCGCCATGTAGCGGGCCCACTCATCCATCAAGCGCGCGCACACGTGGCTACTGAAATATTCACCTTAGACGACCGCTGATGGATGCCCGAACTACACCTGCTCACATTGACAAGTTTAGGCATACAAGTGCGGATGGCGGCACGCCAATCGATCCGGCTGGACACGTGCAACTCACGGCTCGTCAGGCTCTCCTGCACACGCGCCACCAGGGGGAGGATGAAGTAATTGCCTTATAGCAGCAATGGTCGTTGGTGAGGCAGGGTAGCCACTCCTGCACAAGCCACATCCAAAGCCAAAGTCACACCAGAAGTCCGGCAGTTTGATGACATCGCCAGCGCCTTAGCGCACATGCTCATGAGTAGAGGAAACTGTGTTCCTATTTTGCCAAGCCACCTGCCATCTTGTCCTCGTTGTTCTCCTGGTCATCCTCCGCCCAGTCGCTCTCCTCAAGCTCTTCACGCTCCTTCACATCAGGATCCTCATCCTCAGCACTGCTCTCGCTCATCACCTCGCTCCCCTCGTGCTCGTCACGGTCGCTCGAGACCATGTCGCCTGTTCAGCACTTGCAGTCACTTGCAGCATTACTGCTACGAACACGGAACGTTGTGTCGGGGTAGCCGGTGCTATTATGATGCCTCTAGATTTGCGGCCTAGCAAGCTCCGCTACCTGTCGCCTCCAAGTCACTCACTCCGTTCTCGGTGATCATATCGTCTGGCCGGCCGAGCCCTGGAAAAGCGCCTGACTCGTCATCTTCCATGTCCGCCCAGCTCACGCGTGTGCCAGTGATGCTCCACATCGAGGCCATGGTGCTAGCAAGCTAGGAACTGTACACAAATTGTTTGACTTAGAAGCCAGAGTGCTGCGCACGGCTAGCATCGCTGCGCACGCGCCAAGTCTTGCTATGCAATCATCAAAGATCGTCAACCCATTGACTCTGCCACTCTGGTCCTGCCCTGCAGCCAGGTAGCCTTCATGTGACACTGCGAGCTCCCAACATCTGAGGAGCAAGACCTAGCCAAACAAATCACCCCCTGGCCAAGCATGGAGCAATCCCTCCAAGCAGCACTTACAATAAGAGAAGATCCGCGCCTCGCCCTGCAAAATCATTGCGGCGCGGGAGCCCTGCGCAGGAGCAAGACTGCGTCACAGCCCTGGGTTACATCCCCTCACGCCTAGCAGACGAAGAGTGCCAGAGCAATCCTACACAGGATCTGGCATGCACGCACAAAGCACATACCCAAACACAACTCTCGCATGCACGCGCGCAACAAAGCAGCAGTACACGCAATTCTTCACTACCCACACACACACGCACATCACCCAACACGACTCTTGCTGGGCGCTCCTAAAACTGCCTTCACATACACCGCGGATCTCTTATCCAGACAAGCGCTTCAAGCGCCAGAAACGTATGTCCTTGCCAGGCTACGAGCTCGTTTGATTTTTGAGAAGAGGCATAGAGTGCTAGTGAGCCGACTCAAAGCTACTCTACTGTTGGAAAATACACGCAATTTGCCGCTAGCTGTCACACACTCGGTTGGCAAAAGCAGGTTTCAAAATAACAGTTGGGTAGGGCGCCCTTCTTGTATTTGA